ACAGGGTAGAACTCTCCCATGGTGTTTCCAAGTTTGTAATCTTTAAGAAAGCAAATTGCCAAATCTTTTCTTTCACTGTGTGTTAGGTGGGTTCCATTCACCAACTTTCAATGCTATGTGCTTAACCACTTCACATGGTCAGGCACTGAAATTATGTGGTTATATATGGACATGGTTGATCATCATATAACCAGAATTTTATTGTTAGTTGCCTTGTCATTGATTCTAACTCAAGGCATCCCAATGTGTTGCAAAGTATAACTATTCTATTGGCTTTGCAAGGCTGTGACCTTTCAGAAGTAAATTGCCAGGCCTGTCTTTCTAAGTACCTCTGCATAAGTTCAAGGTTCCTTTCAGCTAGTAATCAAGAGCTTAACTATTTCACCACCCAAGGGCTCCAACTCAGAGCATTCCAATATGTATTTTGAAATTATCATCTAAATGAAGCATTCATCATAAGCATTCTTATGGACACCGACAGATCTTTCCATTAGGATTTCTGGTTTAGACTCTTTGGATTCCAAGGGCTCCATATAAAACAGCTATTTCAAATATTTAATGAGTTTCTGCTGTGTTACAGTCATTTGAACAACTGACTTGGGATATATTTCTGAACAAAATAGACAACTATCCTTTTCTTCTTGGAGCTTGCATTCCAGTAGACACAGACAAGAAAAAGAAGTATAACAAGTAGGTAAATAAGTATTTTAGAAGATGATAAATGCTATTTGAAAAGGGAAAATAGAGAAACATGAGGAGGTGAGGAGTGCTAATGGAATGCTATATTAAATATGGTGATTCTGGAGAACTCATTGAGGAGATACTAGAGTCCTATTTTATGGAAATGAAGCTATTAGCCAAACACTTTACTGACAGACTGTTTTAGGTGGAGAACACAGCTGGAGCAGATGTTGTGGATGAAAGCCTGCTGGGTGTAGTTAAGGAAGAACTAGGAAGCCAGTGTGACTGGAGTTTAGAGGGAGTATGTGAGCAGCAGGGGAGAAGGCAAAAAAGTTCACAGAAGATCAAATTATTTTAAGGATTTTGGCTTCTCTGCTGCATGAAATAGAGACATTTCAGGGTTATAAGCAAAAGAGTGACTTGACTTGACTCAAGTTTTAAGAGGAGCCTTATAAGAGGCTCTTATATTTTAAGAGTTCAAAATATCCACATAGCAGAACAAGAGTAGAAGCAGAAAGAATTGTTAGTCTATTGCTATTGTTAGGCAGAAACATGGCTGGCCAGACGAGTGAATGA